GTATCGTTATATACATCCTATTTATACGTTGTATTCATTATATACATCCCATTATACATGGTATCATTATATACATCCTATTATACGTTGTATCATTATATACATCCCATTATACATTGTATCTTTATATACATTCAATTATACATTGTATCATATAATACATCCTATTATGCATTGTATCATTATATACATCCTATTATACATTGTATCATTATATACATCCTATTATACATTGTATCATTATATACATCCCACATTATACATTTATCATCATTATAAACATCCATTATACATTGTATCATTATATACATCCCATTATACATTGTATCATTATATACATTCCATTATCATATATACATCCTATTAACATTGTATCATTATATACATTCCATTATATATTGTATCATTATATACATCCCATTATACATTTATCATTAATATACATCCATATTATACATTGTATCATTATATACATCCTATTATACATTGTATCATTATATACATTGGTATCATTATATACATCCTATATACAATATCATTATATACATTCTATTATACATTGTATCATTATAAACATCCTATTATACATTAAATCAAATATACAACCCATTAAATACATTGTATCATTAATACATCCTATTATACATTGTATCAATATATACATCCTATTATACATTGTATCATTATATACATTCTATTATACATTGTATCGTATATATACATCCTATTATAACGTTGTATCATTATATACATCCATTATACATTGTATCGTTATATACATCCTATTATAACATTGTATCATTATACATCCTATTATACATTGAATCGATTATACAATCCTATTATTACATTGTATCATTATATAATACAAATACATCATATTAATTATTATGTTATAAAAACATATTATATATTATACATTGTATCATTATATACATCCATATTATACATTGTATCATTATATACATTCTATTATACAGAATTGTATTCAATTATTACATCCTATTATACATTGTATCATTATATAATCCTATTATACATTGTAAAAACAATTATATATCACATCCTATTATACGTTGTATCATTATATACATCCATTATACATTGTTATACATTATAACATTCTATTATACATTGTATCATTATACATCCTATTAACATTGTATCATTATATACATCCTATTATACATTGTATCGTTATATACATCCTATTATACGTTGTATCATTATATACATCTATTATACATTGTATCGTTATATACATCCTATTATACGTTGTATCATTATATATACAATCCATTATACATTGTATCGTTATATACATCCTATTATACGTTGTATCATTATATATATCATCCTATTATACATTGTATCGTTATATACATCCCATTATACGTTGTATCATTATATACATCCCATTATACATGGTATCATTATATACATCCTATTATACGTTGTATCATTATATACATCCCATTATACATTGTATCTTTATATACATTCTATTATACATTGTATCATTATATATACATCCTATTATGCATTGTATCATTATATACATCCTATTATACGTTGTATCATTATATACATCCTATTATACATTGTATCATTATATACATCCCATTATACGTTGTATCATTATATACATCCCATTATACATTGTATCATTATATACATCCCATTATACGTTGTATCATTATATACACCCTATTATACATTGTATCATTATATACATCCTATTATACGTTGTATCATTATATACATCCTATTATACGTTGTATCATTATATACATCCTATTATACGTTGTATCATTATATACATCCTATTATACGTTGTATCATTATATACATCCTATTATACGTTTGTATCATTATATACATCCTATTATATACGTTGTATCATTATATACATCCTATTATAACGTTGTATCATTATATACATTCCATTATACATTGTATCATTATATACATCCCATTATACATTGTATCATTATATACATCCTATTATACATTGTATCATTATATACATCCCATTATACATTGTATCATTATATACATCCTATTATACATTGTATCATTATATACATCCTATTATACATTGTATACATCCCATTATACATTGTATCATTATATACTTCCTATTATACATTGTATCATTATATATATTATACGGGCAGCACAGTGGCTAAATGGTTAGCACTTCTGCCTGGCAGTACTCGGGTCATTGGTTCGAATCTCAGCCACGGCACCTCCTGCCTGGAGTTTGCATGTTCTCCCTGTGCCTGTGTGGGTTTCCTCCGGGTACTCCGGTTTCCTCCCACACTCCAAATACATGCTGGTAGGTTAATTGGGAACCTGTCTAAATTGTCCCTAGTATGTGTATGTATGAATGTGAGTGAGGGACTGTAGATTGTACGCTCCTCGGGGGCGGGGCCTGATGTGAATGTACAATATATATGTAAAGCGCGGTGTAAATTGACGGCGATTATATAATTATATAAGTACCTGAAATAAATAAATAATAAAATAAAGAAATGGCTTCCCTCCATGATTGTCAGAGTATCTTCTTCAAGATTTCTGGATATAGAAGAATCCTCGTCTGATGCGAGTCTGGATGGGACCCTCGGCTGATAGCAGACCGCAGCCATGTTTTCAGAGACTGGAATAGCGGTGAAGTGATTGAAGGGCCCCATTGTGTTGGACGAGGGGGGGGGGGGGTGACATTGCTTCGAGACGTCTTCATCTCGACAGCCACCCAACTTCAGCCGCCGTTGTAAAATCAATTTGACCTGATTAAGTGCTTCAGCTGGGGCCGGCGCGACCTTCAGCATTCGCAGAGGAAATGAGAAGCCAAAAGTGAAATGATTGCCGACAACGACGACACATTCGCCAACGTTCCTCCTTTTCTGATACTTTGTATAAGAAGTCATTCCTTCAAGTCCTGATAGAATTCTCACATCCTGGAAGAGGGGCCGCACAGTCACAGAGACCACAGAGCTGTCAGAACCGTGGCTGGAGGTTCCGGTGATGGGACCCATTTATTGGAGGTTCCGTTTGCTGTAGAAGATGGAACACCACATTGGTATAACCTGGCGATTGTGATGTCATCTCCCTGGATGACAAGCTTGGAAAAGATCCTGGAGATCCTAAGCGGGGGTGTCAAACTCAATTCATGGTGGGCCGCATCAGCATTATGGTCGCCCCCCAAAGGGCCGTTGTATCTTTAAGACTGGATGTTCAGAGCACCCCCTCCACCATCAGAGTCCCCACCATCCTTTACATTACAAGAGCACCACCTTGCCTTGGACTGCTTCCAGGAAGAAGCTGGGGGGCGGGGCTGGTAATCAGAAAGTGCCGGGTCTGGAGGAGGACTTGAGGAGGACCGGAGTCTGCTGTATGCTGAGACCAGGGGAGGCGGAGACGAGGGGGTGCTGCGGCTGCACAGAGAGGTGCAGGATCTGTAGAAGGAGTTCTGTCCTCCTCTCTGATGCCACCTGCTGAGATGGGAAGGGGGGATAATGGGGGCGGAGAGTAGACATTCTGATGTAAGGGAGGCTCTGATAGGGACTGATGTGTAAGGGGGGGGCTCTGATGGAGATCCTGATGTAAGGGGAGACTTTGATGGGGACCCTGATGTAAGGGGAGACTGTAATGGGGATCCTGATGGAAGAGGAGGCTCTGATGGGGATCCTGATATAAGGGAAGTCTCTGATGGAGACCCGGATGTAAGGGGAGACTGTGATGGGAACCCTGATGTAAGGGGGGACTCTGGTGGGGACCCTGATGTATGCAGAGACTCTGATGGGGACCCTGATGTAGGGGGGACTCTAATGGGGACCCTGATGTAAGGAGGGACTCTAATGGGGACCCTGATGTAAGAGGAGACTCTGATGGGGACCCTGATATAAGGGAAGTCTCTGATGGAGACCCTGATGTAAGGGGAGACTCTGATGGGAACCCTGATGTAAGGGGGGACTCTGGTGGGGACCCTGATGTATGCAGAGACTCTGATGGGGACCCTGATGTAAGGGGGGACTCTAATGGGGACCCTGATGTAAGGAGGGACTCTAATGGGGACCCTGATATAAGGGGGGACTCTGATGGGGACCCTGATGTAAGGAGGGACTCTAATGGGGACCCTGATATAAGGGGGGACTCTGATGGGGACCCTGATGTAAGGGGGCACTCTGATGGGGACCCTGATGTAAGGGGGAACTCTGATGGGGACCCTGATGTAAGGGGGCTCTCTGATGGGGACCCTGATGTAAGGGGGAACTCTGATGGGGACCCTGATGTAAGGGGGAGCTCTGATAAGGACTTTCATGTAAGAGGGAACTTTGATGGAGACTCAGTAACAGTGTAGTGTTGGGGGGGACACCTGATACAAGGTGGATGGATTGCTCTCACACCCTAGTTATCATTGAATATAAAGTACAATCCGAGTATAACAAGGGGGGACCTTTATTGTCGCATTCACTGAGGTTACCTCCAGCTTCAGGGTTGTGTTCATTCATTTCTTCATTTATGGGCCCCGATGTGCATCCAACAACGTATACCACCCTCCATGCAATGCGCACCCTCAAATATCTCTGCTATGTGGTGTTGGAAAAAATAAATGCTGCGTGGATGACCCCCCCTCCCCCCCTTACAAGTGAGCAGTACATGTACCGTAAGATGCGTCAACCAACTTCAACATCGGTGTTAGGGGCCCCTACAGACAGCCCACGTTTACTCATTGGGCCCCTACAGACAGCCCACGTTTACTCATTGGGCCCCTACAGACAGCCCACGTTTACTCATTTTCAGTTTTGTCTCTTCCACCCTTCCCATTGGTGCTCAACGTATTTCCATATTTTATAACTCCATATCCTCTCCTATGAGGATGACATCTCCCAGCACAGTCCTAGCATGTAGAAGACTTGCTGAGCGCACCGAACATACACTATATTGCCCAAAGTATTGGCCCCGCCCTCCAAATCATGTGATTCAGGTGTTCCAATCCCTCCATATCATGTGATTCAGGTGCTCCAATCCCCTCCATATCATGTGATTCAGGTGGTCCAATCCCCTCCATATCATGTGATTCAGGTGTTCCAATCCCCTCCATATCATGTGATTCAGGTGGTCCAATCCCCTCCATATCATGTGATTCAGGTGTTCCAATCCCCTCCATATCATGTGATTCAGGTGTTCCAATCCCCTCCATATCATGTGATTCAGGCGTTCCAATCCCCTCCATATCATGTGATTCAGGTGTTCCAATCCCCTCCATATCATGTGATTCAGGTGTCCCAATCCCCTCCCAATCATGTGATTCAGGTGTTCCAATCCCCTCCATATCATGTGATTCAGGTGTTCCAATCCCCTCCATGGACACAGGTGTATACAATCACGCCCCTAGACATGCAGACGGCTTCTACAAACATTGGTGAAAGAATGGGTCGCTCTCAGGAGCTCAGTGACTCCAAGCGTGGTCCCGTGATAGGTGGCCACCTGGGCAATAAGTCCATCCGTGACATTTCCTGGCTACTAAATATTCCACGCTCAACTGTTAGTGGGATTATAACAAAGTGGAAGCCACTGGGAACAACAGCCACTCAGCCACCAAGTGGTAGGCCACGTCACATGACAGGGCGGGGTCAGCGCATGCTGAAGCGCACAGTGCGCAGAAGTCGCTAACTGTCTGCAGAGTCAATAGCTAAAGACCTCCAAACTTGGTGTGGCCTTCAGATGAGCCCAACAACAGTGCGTAGAGAGCTTCATGGAATGGGTTTCCATGGCCGAGCAGCTGCATCCAAGCCTTCCATCACCAAGTGCAATGCAAAGCGTCGGATGCCGTGGTGTAAAGCACGCCGCCACTGGACTCTAGAGCAGGGGAGACGTGTTCTCTGGAGTGACCAATCACGCTTCTCTGTCTGGGAATCCGATGGACGTGTCTGGGTTTGGCGGTTGCCAGGAGAACGGTACTTGCCTGACTGCATTGTGCCAAGTGTAAAGTTTGGTGGAGAGGGGATTATGGTGTGGGGGTTGTTCCTCAGGGGTTGGGCTTGGCCCCCTAGTTCCAGTGAAGGGAACTCTTAAGGTGACATTTTGGACAATTTCATGCTCCCACCTTTGTGGGAAGAGTTTGGGGATGGCCCCTTTCTGTTCCAACATGACTGACCACCAGTGCACAAAGCAAGGTCCATAAAGACATGGAGGAGCCAGTTTGGGGTGGAGGAACTTGACTGTCCTGCACAGAGTCCTGACCTCAACCCCATAGAACACCTTTGGGATGAATTAGAGCGGAGACTGCGAGCCAGGCCCCCTCCCCCGACATCAGTGCCTGACCTGACAAATGTGCTTCTGGAAGAATGGTCCAACCTTCCCATAGACACCCTCCTAAACCTTGTGGACGGCCTTCCCAGAAGAGTTGAAGCTGTTATAGCTGCAAAGGGCGGGGCCAACTCAATATTGAACCCTACGGACTAAGACTGGGGGGCCATTAAAGGTCATGTGTGTGGAAAGGGTGGGGCCAACTCGGTTATGAACCCTACGGACTAAGACTGGGGGGCCATTAAAGGTCATGTGTGTGGAAAGGGCGGGGCCAACTCAATATTGAACCCTACGGACTAAGACTGGGGGGCCATTAAAGGTCATGTGCGTGGGAAGGCCGGCGGCCCAATACTTGGGGCAATATAGTGTATTATACCCCATGGAGATGCTTAGACAAAAAAAGCCCCCCCCGCCAAAAGAAAAGAATGAATACTGATCCATCCCAAGAATTAATCATCTTCCTGGTGTCAGATGCTGGGTCCCCCATTGGGGTTCCCCACACCAGCCCCTAAGTCCCCCATGTGTCCATTGAATTTGCAGCTGACAATAAAGTTATTCTGATCGCTTTACAAAAAGTCCTGGATCCTTTCTTGGATACACAGAATATAACTGGATATAACATTTATAGGGAAAGGTGATCCAGGGAATATCCGATTGCCTCTCGGGGGGTCAGGAAGGAATCTTTCCCCTGCAGGAGGAGATTGGATTGTGCTTTGCTGGGTGTTTTGCCTTCCTCTGGATCCACTGTGGGTGTCGGATTATAACTTTCTTTTTTTTTTTTTTTTTTTTAATTGTTGAACTGGATGGACTTTTGTCTTTTTTCAGCCAGACTAACTATGTAACTATGGTATTTTTTTGGTCCATTTGGTTTAAAGAGAACCCGTTTCTGCTGGTGTTGGAGTTTCCACTGGGCTATGACATCACCCCCTCCACCATGTGCCAGTATTCAGGCCTCATGGTTGGCCCAAGTACAGATCATGGAAGGATCACATGGAACCCCGAACCCGAAATCGCTGGATATGTTGCCTGAGGGAAGGATGCAAAGGTGGGGTGAGTTTTAAAGAGGCCCTGTCCTTTTGCCCTAAATTTGAACCTGCCTATATTTTTTTCTCCCTCCTTTTCCTTTTTGTTACATACCCAATTTTAGCTATAATGATAGCATCACTGGGTCTCTGTGCTTCTCTGCAAAATGCAGGCAAATCATGGTTGGTGGGAGGGGCCTGCAGGGTTCTGCACATAGCTTCCCAAAAACATCACAGCACCCTGCCTCAGTACTCCTCTCTAGAGCCCTCAGTCCTGATGCAAGTGGTGGGAGAAGTCAATGCTATGATGGGTGGGTGTCAGTCTGAAGGAGGGGGGGTGACGAGGCAGGCTGTATTTACATACAGAACGGCCACATGTGACACTGAGGCTCCATGATTGAAAGAACTGAAATCCAATTAAAGAAAGGGGTGGAGCCAGGGACAGTCAGGCCAGGGAGGAAAGTGCTAGATGATGCTGGATGTCCTCCAGACAGAAAATGAGGCGGAGCTCTATCTGACTGGTTGCAGCTTCTTATGCACATTGTGAGAAGCTCCCAGTGTGCGGTGACATCAGAGGAATCTGTTTCAGTCCAGGAGAAGAGCCGGTACACCTGTGCACGACTGAAGGGGAGGAGCTGGAACACCTGTGCAAGACTGAAGGGGAGGAGCCGGAACACCTGTGCAAGACTGAAGGGGAGGAGCCGGAACACCTGTGCAAGACTGAAGGGGAGGAGCCGGTACACCTGTGCAAGACTGAAGGGGGGGAGGAGATGGTACGCCTGTGCAAGACTGAAGGGGAGGAGCCGCTACACCTGTGCAAGACTGAAGGGGAGGAGCCGGAACACCTGTGCAAGACTGAAGGGGAGGAGCCGGTACACCTTTGCAAGACTGAAGGGGAGGAGCCGGTACACCTGTGTAAGACTGAAGGGGAGGAGCCGGTACACCTGTGCAAGACTGAAGGGGAGGAGCCGGTACACCTATGCAAGACTGAAGGGGAGGAGCCGCTACACCTGTGCAAGACTGAAGGGAGGAGCCGACACCTGTGCAAGACTGAAGGGGAGGAGCTGATACACCTGTGCAAGACTGAAGGGGAGGAGCCTGTACACCTGTGCAAGACTGAAGGGGAGGAGCCGGTACACCTGTGCAAGACTGAAGGGGAGGAGCCTGTACACCTGTGCAATACTGAAGGGGAGGAGCCGATACACCTGTGCAAGACTGAAGGGGAGGAGCCGGTACACCTGTGCAAGACTGAAGGGGAGGAGCCGGTACACCTGTGCAAGACTGAAGGGGAGGAGCCGGAACACCTGTGCAAGACTGAAGGGGAGGAGCCGGTACACCTGTGCAAGACTGAAAGGGAGGAGCCGGTACACCGGTGCAAGACTGAAGGGGAGGATCCGGTACACCTGTATGAGACTGAAGAGGAGGAGCCGGTTACACCTGTGCGAGACTGAAGGGGAGGAGCCGGTACACCTGTGCGAGACTGAAGGGGAGGAGCCGGTACACCTGTGCGAGACTGAAGGGGAGGAGCCGGCACACCTGTGCAAGACTGAAGGGGAGGAGCCGATACACCTGTGCAAGACTGAAGCGGAGGCCGGAGGGTTGATAAGGGGTACACCGAGTGGACTTTCTGACTTTAACACATCAGATTTGACTTGTTGCCTGGAGTTCCGGCTTAATTTGTCTTTTTTGGTTTCGGTTTCCATTCGAGGTTCTCCGAAGCCGGCCGCGGAGAATATTCGATGCCCCGGCATACGGCGAATGGAAGGCGCTGTAGTAGTAGAAATGATTGAATATGGCAGACGCTCCGTCTCTAAACGGCGAGGCAGGAGCTCTGTCCATCTTCAGGCACGCTTCATTTAATGTGAGCTGAAAATTCCCCAAGTCTCCGGCTCCATTCCAAGCTCAATTTCAGAGCGCACCACCCAAGTGTAAAATTACAGCCTTCTCTACTTAGAAGGAAGTTTTTTTTTTCTTTGGAATGGGGGGGGGGGGGGGGGGCAGCTAGAAATTTTCCATCATCCCCACGGGGAGTCCATGCTGGCCTGCGTGTTGCTCCAAGCGGTTCCATCGCTTTGGGTGACAATCTTCATTGCCGCAATCTATATTTTTTCACAGTAAAGTGATTATCTGAGTTGCAAATATACAACCTGAACCTGAGGCTGGAAATCAGCTTTCTGTAAACACCGGAATGTGTGAGAAGCTGAGCTGCTGGACAGAGAAAAATATGAAATTCTATGAAAAATTAAATTACATGTAAAACCCTAAATCACTAAAATCGCTAAAATCACTAAAATCACTAAAATCGCATAGAAACTGCAAATTAATATTAAAAGATCTTTTATTTCAAATTAAAAAGTTATTTTCAATTTTATGAAACAACCCGGCCTGATGTTCCCACCATGACGGTTCTTGTTCACTTCCTGTTATGGGGCCACAACGCTCTGTCCCTGTCTCTCAATTTGGCTCTTGCGTTGTCACCCTGCCACACATGTCCTTGGCGAACACTCCAGGGGGCCCATGCTGATACATATTGAACACTCCAAGGGGGCCCATGCTGATACATATTGAACACTCCAGGGGGCCCATGCTGATACATATTGAACACTCCAGGGGGCCCATGCTGATACATATTGAACACTCCAAGGGGCCCATGCTGATACATATTGAAACACTCCAGGGGGCCCATGCTGATACATATTGAACACTCCAAGGGGCCCATGCTGATACATATTGAGATACAAGAACTTCTTCTTCTCGTGTGTTAAGACCAGGGGCGGACTGACCATTTGGAAACTCGGGCACTGCCCGAGGGCCCGGGGTCAGTAGGGGGCCCCATGAGATGCCCCTGGTACCTTTTTCATAGGCTTTTTTGAATTTGGGCAAGGACACAGGGGCCCCATGATCCCCTATTGCCCGGGGGCCCCATGAGTTGTCAGTCCGCCCCTGGTTAAGACACAGACATTCACATTCATTGGATGCGAT